CAGACCAACATACACACATGCACAGATGCACACATGCACACAACACACATACACACATACACACATACACACATACACACATACACACATACACACATACACACATACACACATACACACATACACTCATACACACATACACACATACACACATACACACATACACACATACACACATACACATATACACACATACACACATACACACATACACACATACACACATACACACATACACACGTACACACGTACACACGTACACACGTACTCACGTACACACGTACACACGTACACACGTACACACGTACACACGTTTACACGTACACACGTACACACATACACACATACACACATACACACATACACACATACACACATACACACATACACACATACACACATACACACATACACACATACACACATACACACATACACACATACACACATACACACATACACACATCTACACATACACACATACACACATACACACATACACACATACACACATACACACATACACACATACACACATACACACATACATACATATATACACACATATATATACACACGCACACACACATGCATACATGCACACGTGCACACATGCACAGATGCGTAGATACACACATGCACACATGCACACATGCACACATACACACATACACACATACACACATACACACATACACACATACACGCATACACGCATACACACATACACACATACACACATACACACATACACACATACACACATACACACATACACACATACACACATACACACATACACACATACACACATACACACATACACACATACACACAAACAACGACCGTCCGACCGACCGACCGACCGACCAACCGAACGTCCGACCGACCGACCGACCGACCGACCGACCGACCGACCGACCGACCGACCGACCGACCGACCGACCGACCGACCGACCGACCGACCGACCGACCGACCGACCGACCGACCGACCGACCGACCGACCGACCGACCGACCGACCGACCGACCGACCGACCGACCGACCGACCTACCTACCTACCTACCTACCTACCTACCTACCTACCTACTTCCTACCTACCTACCTACCTACCTACCTACCTACCTACCTACCTACCTACCTACCTACCTACCTACCTACCTACCTACCTACCTACCCACCTACCTACCTACCTACCTACCTACCTACCTACCTTCCTACGTACCTACCTACACACACGCACACACACACGCACGCACGCACGCACACACACACACACACAGACACACACACACAGACACACACACATACACACACGCACGCACGCACGCACGCTCGACGCACGCACGCACGCACGCACACACACAGACACACACACACACACGCACACACGGTGACGTGCATTATTGACCTGTCCACGTAGACGTGTCTTTAAGATAAAATATTCCTAATTAAAATTGTTAAACAGTGTATCATGCGTTTTATTTAATTAAATTCCTGTTCAATGAATAATCGTAAACCTGAACTAATTACTAACCAGCATCGAAACTAGATCCACGTATCAGTGTTATTAATGCAATTCATATTTACAAATCCACATATGTTTCATCAGGTTATTAAAGAAAAACAAATCCTTGCTTAAGCTTTGCATTAAGAATAATGATACGTGGACTGGATAATTCTTTGCTGTTCTGTCTGGCACAGGCAACAATGATTAACAAAATTAATTTTGTCACGGAAAACATATACACACTTAACTACAGACTCAAACACAAAAATATTCTCAAACACACACTCGCAAAGACAGGAAAAAAAAACAATCGAAAATACACACTCCTAACACACCCAAACATAAACCACAACCCCTGCAAGAAACGCCGACATTTACAAACATTTTTCCCACACGCCTAAACTAGATAATTTAGACAAACATGTACCTTTAAACGTGAATTACAGAGTAGCCTACTCCCATACGTACCTGAAAATATACACAAACATACATAAACTTACGTCTAAACCATGGGTTCCCAACCCCTTGGGGGTCGCGAAGGGATTTCTGTGGGGTCACCAACTGGTAGACTAAACTCTAGCAATGAATAAAAAACATAAATATTTAGAAAAATATTTGAAATTCGGCATTACTAACATCACTGGAAATGGATTAGAGAATAAACAATTTGTACTGTGCAAAGTTGTTCTTAGTCAGGAGTCTATGAAAACTTCCAAACGTCAATTTGAGACGAGTCATTCGGAACACACCAAAAAAAATATGTAGTTCTTTTGTCGGCATGAAGCTAGGTTGCAAACGTCAGAGACTTGATCGAACAGAACGTTTTCACCAAGAAAACACAGCATTAGTGCAAGCATCATATGAAGTAGTATTAGAAATTGCCAAGCAAAAAACCTCTCACACAAAGGAGAAAATCTCATCAAACTATATATGCTAAAGATGGTAAATTAATTCTTGGTGATTCCAGTGCAGTAAAGATGCAACAAATATCTCTGTCTAATAATACTATGCAGCGGCTTATGTTAAAAGACAAATTTAGAATGAAATCAAGCTTTCACCATTGTTTGATTTTCAAGTTGACGAATCGACAGATGTGAGTTAGTGTTCGCAGTTGCTTGTCTTTGTGAAATATATTCATTCATATGTTAGCAAATAAGAGTTGATGTTTTGTGAAGATATCATGGAGAAAGTAAATACGTTTTTTGAAACTGGATGATTAAAATGGGAAAACGGCTGTGGGGCTTGTACGGATGGTGCGTCATGTTTGGGTCAAAATGGGGGTTTCAGAAAACCTAAAAGATTTAGCTCCCTAACCAAGCTGAATCCACTGCATGATTCACATATGCCCTCGCCAGCAAGACTTATCCGACTCCATTGCTAATAAAACTCGTAAATCATATTAAATCTGGAGCCATAAACACCTGTTTGTTTCAAGAACTGTGCAAAGACATGGATAAAGATCACGAGGTTCTACACTTCAGTACGCTGGCTGTCAATAGGAAATGTCAATCGTGTTTTTGAATTGAAAGATGAAATCAAGATGTTCTTGGAAGTGCAAGGAAACAAGACCTTTTGATATACTTTAACGACATGGTGTGGTTGGAGAGAGTATCATACCTAGCAGATATATTCGAACATCAACATAAGCTTAACCTGATAAATGAACGAATATTATCTCTTTTCATGATAATCTCTTGGCATTTTAATCAAAGCTGAAAAATTGGCGAGGAAAAATAAATATTTGAAATACTGCCATGTTTGAGAAACTCTGCAGTGTGGTGAAATAAATAAAATTTTAAAAGGATTCTGTGCATCTTGAATCTCCTGAGAACGAACTGCGGCGTTATTTTCCCCGAGCTGGAAGAAGAAGAATCAGCTTTGTCACCCATTCTCTGCTTTCCTTGATGTTACTAGCATTGCCGATGAATAACAAGATGAATTCTTAAATTTGCAAAATTTAATTGTTAATGCTAGTTAATGCTTGTTAATAGCATGTAATTTTGCTCATCGTATTAAAACAGTTATCAAGAATAATTCATATTAAAAGTCTACTAGGCTAATTTAGTGCTTATTATTTTCTTTTCTAATTTCGACTTGTTAATTATATGGGGGTCGCGGGTCACTTACGTTTTATGAAAGGGGGTCGCCACTCGAAAAAGGTTGGGAACCACTGGTCTAAACTGATATTAACGCCTTTGCCTATGACCAAACGTACACTCCATCCGATAATTACACACACACACACACATACGCACGCTCACGCACACGCGCACGCACGCATACATACACACACACATGTTGTCTTATTAAATAAGCTGCAACATACGTGGTTAGTTCGTGTGTTAGTTTAATCTGTCAATTGCACGTGGCAACACTTTGTGAGCGATGAGGTGTTTTTTAATCTCATTATATTTCACATTTGCAACCAGTTATGGCTGAAGAGCGGTTTACGTATAACTTTCAACAGTATTCAAGGGGTCGACTTGATTGAACACACAGTTGCTAAACCGAAAAATCTCGAGTTCGAACCCTCAGGCAGAAGATGCTCGATTGCTGGGGACAGCAGCTCTCCTAGGCGAGACAACTACAAAACCAAACAACTACTGCCGTGTAGTTTGTTCTTGGTCAAACAAAAAAAAAAAAGAAAAAAGAAAAGCAGGCTGAAATCGGAGTCTACGGCTACGGCTACGGTTACAGATACGGCTACTATGGCTACTATGGCTACTATGGCTACTTTGGCTACTTTGGCTACTATGGCTACTATGACTACTATGGCTACTATGACTACTATGGCTACTATGGCTACTATGGCTACTATGGCTAATATGGCTAATATGGCTACTATGGCTACTATGGCTACTATGGCTACTATGGCTACTATGGCTACTAAATAACTACTGCCGTGTAGTTTGTTCTTGGTCAAACAGAAAACATCCAAAAAGAAAAGCAGGCTGAAATCGGAGTCTACGGCTACGGCTGTGGCTGCGGCTATGGCTGCGGCTACGACTACTGCAGCTACTGTGGCTACTGTTGCTACTTTGACTATGGCTATGGCTATGGCTATGGCTATTGCTATGGCTATGGCTATGGCTATGGCTATGGCTATGGCTATGGCTATGGCTATGGCTATGGCTATGGCTATGGCTATGGCTATGGCTATGGCTATGGCTATGGCTATGGCTACGGCTACGGCTATGGCTACGGCTACGGCTACGGCTACGGCTACGGCTACGGCTACGGCTACGGCTACGGCTACGGCTACGGCTACGGCTACGGCTACGGCTACGGCTACGGCTACGGCTACGGCTACGGCTACGGCTACGGCTACGGCTACGGCTACGGCTACGGCTACGGCTACGGAAAAGGCAATGTCAATGTCAAAGGCAAAGGCAAAGGCAATGGCACTACACACCACACACCACACACACTACACACTTTTTAAAATCCACGTACATTAACATAGTAAAACGACAAAACATGGTAATAAAGAAAAAACTGCAGTTTATTTTCTTTAATACGGTACACATCTTCGGTTTTGAATCAAGTTCATTTTCGATGCATTATTAATTCTTTTACATCTACAAAGCAACCCAGAATCTCTTTGGGAACATCTAGAATATAAATAGAACATAGCGTAAAAATTAATATAGAATATAAACATGTTTTTTCATTAAATCTTTCATAAGGAGCCTTTTAAAATTTAAAGTTAAGAAGTTACGCTCAAAATTTTTAAATATATTTTATTTTTGTCGTAATGGGGTTCTTGCACTTTTGGATTCGTTTTCTATTCGTTATTTAGAAAATAACAGAATTAAAAAGTTTCAAAATGTTTTTAAAAAGAAAATTTGGTGACCCTATATAGGAATACAATTTTTTAATTATTTTCCTCTTACTAGCTCGCCACGAAGTGTTTGTCATCCGCAAGCATATTGAATTTAGCATTAATGGAAAGCTGGATTTCTCCGGTACTTGCTAATCGTATTTTACGTTAGTTTAGTAACACCGAAACCCTTCTATTGGCTTTTCAAATAACACTGGAATAACAGATATGGTATTTACCTAACCTAAGTTTTGTTAGTATTTTCTGTTTTTCTCAGTCTATAGCTTTGAAATTATAATAGTAAAAGCCTACTTCTTTCTTTTATTAATAATACAATTCCCACAATATTTTCTATACTTATTCTTCATGCAATAATAAAACTTTTGCCACAAGGGAATTGTAATAGTTTAATAGATTTTTCGTTGTTGGTAAAACAGTAATCACATTTTTCATAATTGGTATGCAATTTTTTGTACATTGTAAAATTTCATACCAGTAGCTCTATCAAAAATGTGTCGAAACAAAAGTATTAACATTTACTGAAATTTAAGAAATGTAAATATGCGTCTTTTAAATGCACACTTAAAAGAATTTAATAAAGCGTTTTTAAAATCGACGAAAAATTCAAAATTTCGGGTATTTTTACAAGCTTTTATTTAACTCACTTCCTCGTCAGTCTGTCGTCAGTCTGTCGTCAGTCTGTCTAGACGGAAACGCAGGAGTGAAAATTCGGACAGTTCTACTTGACCGACACGATTCACAGTTGGCACGTGGGTCAAGACATGAAGACAATGCAATCTGAAACTAAATTTGACTTAATTGGATGCCTAATTGATTTTTTATGAATTAATTAAAATTTGGACCGAATTAGTAGGCATGTCTAGCCAACCACACCACACGCGTCATCAATAGCTGCGCCATCACGACCACGTAATGGCTGCGTTCAAAAACCATTGCGCGCCTACTGAACGTGATATTCAGAAGGCGCGCAATGGTTTTTAGTCATGTAACTCTATTGTAGATAAAACATGTAAAGTACTGAAAAAAAAATTCATAAAAAACGTTTTAATAACAAGCTTTTATGTAATGATGCACTAAAAAGTAGAAAATAAATTATAGACTACTATTTAAATAACTATAAAGAAAAGCGTGGGTGTCTTCCTTAACATTAGTAAAGGTATCCAATAGATACTAAAGTGACCCACGCTTTTCTTTATAGTTATTTAAATAGTAGTCTATAATTTATTTTCTACTTTTTAGTGCATCATTACATAAAAGCTTGTTATTAAAACGTTTTTTATGAATTTTTTTTTCAAAATTGTTTGCAAATCTAGTTTTGCGGATTAGCACTTACTTGCATGTGGTAGCCAGCGGAATTTTATTTAAAAGCTTCAGATGTTAAGTTTTTAAAATATTAAAAAGGAGCATATCCCCTAAAACAAAAAGTATTTGTGTGGATAGATGTATGTCTAGATAGACGGATAATTGCGGATATATGAATGGACGATAGGAAGAATGGAAGGATGCGCAGCAAGACGGATAAGTTTATATAACACAAATATAGATAACTATTAAAATCTTTGTAAGAATAAAACTGCGTGTATTAGTTAACATACACGCAAGTATGGTTTCTGTTACAGCATGGACTTGTTAGAGTACACCTGGATGTTCCGCATCTAGCAATAGCAGAAAAATATATTAACAGCATATATATATATATATATATATATATATATATATATATATATATATATATATGTGTGTGTGATATAAAACAAGAATTTAATCTTTAATGCCATCGAATTTATAGTAACCACTTTGTTAGATTGAGATTGAAAAAATAAAAATAAAAGTATCATTACATCGTTTGTTCTGCAGTAGTTGAGGTGAGCTCAAATTTCAGGAGAGCGGTGCTCAGCAGTACAATAAGTATGACGCTTTTCATTTCGACGCACTTTGTTTATCTGATAAAAAATGAGCAAATCAATATTATATATATATATATATATATATATATATATATATATATATATATATATATATATATATATATATATATATATAACTGCATTTTTATTTTAAAAACTAATATTAAGCATCCACCCATCCATCCGTCTCTCTGTCCATCCTTCCGTTCGTACATCCGTCCATCCATTTATCCACCCGTCCAACCTAACCCACCCACCCACCAACCTTACATAAATTACAATGATTATAAAGTGAAATACGACTTGAGAGCTTTGACCGCTTTATCGAGTTTTCTAACACGTTTTTTTCTGGAATCCAGAGGCATTGTTCTTCGACCTCAAACAATTTTAGTTGGGGGAGTGGGTTGTTTTTCAAAAGTTTTTGTTTTTCGAGATATAGCTTACATAAAGAGATTTTTTTTACTCGCTGGGGGTTGTTAATTTTCGTCGAGCGATAGAGGCCGATTCATTAATGCTGGTCTTTGGAAAAAAAAAGTAGCTTAACTACCTTAACAATTTTTTTTTGGAAAATAGCCATTGTTTTTTACATTACCAATGTATATATAAGGAATTCGGACTGTTCAACTCCAAAGGCCATCCAGAGTTTTCCCGAAGATAGCGCCTATTTTTTGTGACCTCCGCGAATAGTTCTAGGACTTCATGCGTTATGATGGGTTTGTATGTAGGACACTTTTTTCGATATAGCTCATATAACGCGATGGTCAGTCGACGTCAGTTTTGACCCCCCCCCCCCTCTTTTTAACTGCATTCTTTACTATTCTTTTTTTATAAATCACTATTTAACGTAAGCTATATTTCTCTATTAGCTAGCATACATTTTGTGATCTATCTTTATTATTGTTTAGGATTTTAAATAACTTAACAATAGCGGAAGCATTTTTTTACTTTCTCGTATATACGAAGTATAGAGAAAATATTGTAATCGTGCAAAAAAATAAATCGCTCGACGTTTTACACCTCCCTGAGTCGGAAAAACATAGTTTTGCAATCTTGTCCGTATGTCTCTGTGTGTGTGTGTGTGAAAACACGATAACTTGAGTACCGTTACAGCTAGGTTGATGAAATTTCATATATAAGTATTTTATCAAAAACGTACATCAGTAGCAACTTTTGAGCCATTTCCGATAACCGGAAGTGGTTTTTTTCTACTTTGAATTTCTCAAAAGCCTATAACTTGAGTACTATTTCAGATAGATAAATGAAATTTCACATGTAAATAAAAGATCTAATATTCTGCCATCTGTCAAATCGTGAGTAATTTCCGTTGACCGGAAGTAGTAATTTTCACTATTTCCGATTTCTCAAAAAAGAAAAACGCATGTGAATTTATAAAGTACTAATAATATTCCGCACTATTATACACATCTTTATTCGGCGTTCGCTTGGTGCGCAATTCTTTTTTCTATGAGATTCTATTCTATTTTAAAAAGTTTAAGTGTTTAAAATGGATTAAAAATCATAACTATATCCCGAGTTCCCATCCCCTGTTGTTTTATATAAGAATATTCGAGAAAGTTTAGGGGAGATCACTCCCGGTTTATTTACTTTTCTATTGTTTTATTTATTTTTACTTTACGAAGTATTGAGAAAGTATTGTAATCGTGCAAAAAATAAAAAATCGTTTTACACCTCCGTAAGTCGGAAAAACATAGTTTTGTAACCTTGTCCGTATGTCTGTGTGTGTGTGTGTATGTGTGTGTGTGCGTCTGTAAATACAATAACTTCGGTACCGTTATAGCTAGGTTGATGAAATTTCATTTATTAGTATTAAATCAAATTTGTACATCTGTATCAACTTTTGAGCGATTTCCGATAATAGGAAGTGGAACTTTTTCTAAGTCAATTCTTCAAAAGACTTTAAATTAAGAACTATTTCAAATAGATAAATGAAATTTCACAAGTAGGTAAAAGATCAAATTCTCTGTCTGTTATCAAATTTTGAGTAAATTTCGTTGACCGGAAGTAGTAATTTACGCTTTTTCCAATTACGCAAAAAACGCATGTGAATTTATAAAGTACTAATAATATTCCGCACTATTATACACATTTTGCTTCGCGTTCTCTAGGTGATCAATTCTTTTTTCTACGAGATTTTATTCTATTTAAAGAAGTTTAAGTAATTAAAAATGGATTAAAATTCATGTCTATATCGTGATGTGCCATCTCCCGTAGTGTTATATAAGAATATTCGAGAAAGTTTAGGGTAGATTACTCCCGGTTTTTTTGTATTCATATTTAATTAAAAATACTGGCTGGCATGTACGAGAACGAGAGTTTGATGAACAATTTACAAGTCCACTTACATTGAAACACCGTGGTGAATATTTTATAAAATTTATTAGCCGGCGCTAAAAATTCTATTCGTGATCATAACACAGCATGACAGTCTTGGTATATGATTTATTTTGTATGAAATGCAGTGGATTTTTTAAATTAAAGGTAATATGTTGTTTAAAGGTATGTAATAAGTAGCGAAGGGTTATTAGATTGCGTCTATTCTTTAACTAAGACATTATAAAGTTATCAAAGTCAGCACTATGTAAGATACAAATGGCAACTCACGTCTACACACTGATATAGAAGATAAAAATCAAACTTACGTTAGGAAGACTGAGGGTAATAAAAATGAAGCAATATGTATTCACATCAGGAGCACTGTGTGTAGCAGATGTCCAATAGCGA